TAAATTAAACTTTTCAGTTTTTTATAAAATCTTAAACTTTTATAATCAATTGAAGAATAATAATCAAAGGTGATTTGTACGTTACTTTCAATATGAAAAATCATCCGACCTATTTTGTAAATAGTAATAACTTAAGTAAATCTATCATTTCATATCGTAGATGATTTTATAAAAGAATTTTTTGTTAATTAAGTTTTCTTTAAGTAGTTATATCGTAGTTATATCGATCTTTATTTTAATCTCTTCATTTTGCTAACTGTTCTCTGTTTAGATTATTAATTAATAGTAGAATCATTTAAATTTAAATCTCTATCAAGCAAAATTGATAACATTTTTTATGATATTTAAATAAATAATCCCAACTAAATTGATCTTATATTTTAATAATATATAAAGAAATGAAGTGTATAAATGACTTAAATGGAAAAAAAACTTTGTAATATAAGAACTTACTTAGCTTTAGAAGTGAAGATTAAGAGTGAAACTACGGAATTTATAAAAAATATTAGCTATTGATTGTAATTATAATTGTTGTTTGATAAATTATCAAATTCATTTTTGCTTTAAGTCTTCTAAAAAGCAACTTCCTTTAGATTTAAATAAAGGTTTTAAATCTTTTCCTTGATGGTTTATAAATTCTCCTTATAAGATAAGTGTACCTGATGCTTCCAATATTATTTCTTGTGATATAACAAGAATTGAATAATTAGAGACTAAATAATAATAATATAATAAAACACCTGGTAGAGGATTGATCTAAAGAAGAGGTGCTTTAAATTAAGCTAGAATATCTTTGTAGTTTTTATCAGAGGATTTAATTCCTTATCCTGTCTATACATCCCATAGACGGATAGACTAATCATCACTTCCAGAAGCTAATATATTATCATCATAAGAGAAACAGACTGTGCAGACATAACCAGTATGACCATCTAATTTGGCTTTTTATTATCTTGTTTTGACATCCCATAGACGGATAGACTTATCATCACTTCCAGAAGCTAATGTATTACCATCATGAGAGTAACAGACTGAGTAGACAGTATTACGATGACCACCTAATTTGGCTTTTTATTATCCTGTTTTGACATCCCAGAGACGGATAGACTTATCATCACTACCAGAAGCCAATGTATTACCATCATAAACAAAAGTATTTCCATCGGAAGAAATACAAACTGAGCAGACTTTGCTAGTATGACCTTCTAATCCGATTGTTTAATGGTTTGTTTTGACATCCCATAAACGGATGGATTTATCATTACTACTAGATGCTAATATATTACCATCAGGAGAGAAACAGACTTAATAGACAGTACTAGTATGACCACATAATCTTGCTTTTTATTATCCTGTTTTTATATCCCATAGCCAAATTTCTCTATTACCACCAGATGCTAATGTATTTCCATCGGAAGAAATACAAACTGAGCAGACTTTGCTAGTATGACCATCTAATTAGGCTTTTTATGATCCTGTTTTGACATCCCATAAACGGATATCCATATCACCATATCCATAACGACTAACGCCACAAGATGCTAATGTATCTCCATCAGGAGAGAAACAGATTGATAAGACAGTGCCATTATAGCAATCTAATTTCGATTTTTATTACCCTGTTTTTATATCCCATAAAAGAATTTCTCTATTGCCACCAGATGCTAATGTATTTCCATCAGGAGAAATACTGAGTGAACAAACATTGCTAATATGACCAATTAATTGGGCTTATTATTATCGTGTTTTTAAATCCCATAAACGGATAAAATTATCATCACTACCAGATGCTAATGTATTACCATCAGGAGAAAAACAGACTTAATTGGCAACAAAAGTATAATCACCTATTATGGCAATTTTTTTTCTTGTTTTAACATCCCATAAACGAATTGATTAATCTTTACTACAAGAAGCTAATGCATTCCCATTAGGAGAGAAACAGACTGACAAAACACACTCAGTATGGCCATCTAATTTTGCCTTTTATTATCCTGTTTTAACATTCCATAAACGAATACAGTTATCCCTATCACAATAAAGACTGCCACTTCCAGATGCTAACATATTACCATCAGGAGAAAAACAAACTGAGTGGACTGAACCTGTATGCCCATTGTATTAATTTATTTAATGAATTTTTAAGTTTTTCCATTTACAATTTAATAATAATGCTTCATTTAAATTCATTCCATTTATATTTACATTATTAAATTAGGATCCACTAAAATTACACCTAAAAAAATTAGCCCCCACCAAAGAGGTATTTTAAATCTTAATATTTTCAAAATTTTTGTTTCTGAGGTC